TGGGTAGTTGATGGTGGCTGGCTCCCGGAACAGGTAGCTCAGGGTCATGCCCAGGCCTGTGGGCGGCATGGGCATGGTTGGCAAGGGCCCCTCCTCCCTAACACATCTGTACCCACACTAGCCTACCTCCCCCCTCCCCCAAGGGCCTACCTCGGATGAGCTCAGTCCACAGCAGGGTCTGAGCTGCCCGGTCGGTCACTGACTTCATATCCATCGAGGGCTCCCGCATGTTCACATATTCTGCAGGGAAGGTGGGCAGAGAGGCCATGGTTGGGGACCCCACACAGGACCTCCCCAAGAGATTCAGTTCAGAGACATGAGGCCTGGCCCTCCCAGGTACAACAGATGGGCCTGTTCATTCACCAAATGTTCCCTGCCTCAGCAAGCACCCCTCTGGCCCTGAGCAGTCCTTGCCTGCTTCTCCCTGCACCTGTGTGGCCATCCAAGCCAGTAGCTGAGGAGGGTGGGAAGAGGCTTGGGTGCTGGGATCCTGGTGAAGGGTCACACCTGGCAGGTCCCTCCTTATCCCACGCAGGGAGGATCTGGGTCACACTGTGTAGCCACAGAGAAGGCCCCCTGCCCCCTGCAATGAGACTCTGCCTCCAAGAATCATATTCAGTCTTGATCACTATCCTCTTTTTACAGAGTAGAAACTGCAGCTCAGAGAAGGGGAGCCCCAGCAAAGCCAGGACTAGAACCCAGGCCTTCTCCCCTGCCTCTAGCAGGACCATGATCAGAAAGCTGGAGACTGGAGGTGCCCCGGGACTCACTGTAGGTGGCTGCAACCGCGCTGCTGTGGAGGCTTCGGCCACTGGGATGCCCTGCAAGGAGAGGGGTTATGCTGTGCAGATGCAACCTCACGGCGGGAGGCTGGGCCCATACCCAGAAAAGGCTCCCTTGGTCCTACCTGCACGTGCAGCCTGGGCCAGGGCCCGAAGTAGCATGGGTGTGGTCAGGCAGCGCATCTGTGGGCATGAAAAGGGAGGCAGGCACAGGTGGGTCCCAGACTGACACCCCCAGGAACTCTAGCACTTGATCCCAGTGTCACTGTGTTATCTTGTCCCCTGCTCACCCCCATTCCTGTCAGAGGGGCAGACGGCCTTCCTGTTCCCAGCTGCAGCCCCTCAAAGCCTCCAACCTGACCCAGATAACACTGCCAACCGCCACCAGCATTTACTGAGAGCTCACTGAGCTAGGCACTGTGCTGGGGTCACATGCACTGCCGCTTTGTCCTCATGAGGACCCCACGAGGGAGGCACAGATGAGAAGCCACAGCTGGGTCGGTCATGTGAAGTGATTTGCCCAAAGTCACACACGAAGGGGGTGGGACCAAGAAGTGAACCCAGGCCAGACCCCTCCCTCTACACCTTCAGCCCTCCCCTGCTGGAACTCTTTAAAGGCTTAAATAACCCTCAAGATCAAATTCCTTTCCTCAGCATCAAGGCCCTTCGGGAACTGTCTCCCAGCCTGCCGGTGACCTAGGGCCTGTTTTCTCATCTGTGAAATGGGAGGTCACGAGAATGAATGGAGTTCAAAGATGCCATGGGTTTAGCTCAGAGCCTGGCACTCAGCCAGAGTTCGAGTGCCCCTCCCGTGACCTGTGACCTCAAGCGGGCTCATCTCTATTGACCTATGACCTCAGTGCCAGGCGCCCAATCCTGCACCCTCCCCGACCTTCCTCATCACCTTTGACCCTATAGACGCAGGCGGCGCATGCGCCCGGAAGGTGCCGGTTTCTCGGTCCAACCGCTGCACGCTCAAGGACACAGAGGCCGCGGGTCCCAAGCGGGCGGAGATGAAGCCCGAGCGCGGAGCCAACGGGGCCAGCGAGGGCCCCACACTCGTCCCCGACACTGTCCTGCCCAGGCCGGGCCTTAACAGCTGAGTCTTGAACACCCACCTTGAAGCGCTGCCGTTCCTTCCCGTGCGGAGCGGTCTGTCCGCCGAGAGGCGGAGCCTACATTCCGGGACGCTGCCATTGGGCCGGCTGGTTTCGCCTTTTCCTCGCTTACCCTTTATGCTGTGGTCTGATTGGCTGGTGGCGCAGCCGAAAGAGGCGGGATCAAAACAGTCTTTCCTCCGATTGGCTAGCGAGGTAGAGCGCCGCCGGGTTGGATTGGATAGGCTGGTAAGTAGGGATTCACGAGCCCCTTGAGGCGGGACATCCGATGCGTCGTTTAAGGAAGTGGCTCTAGGTCAGGTCGAGTACCCCGGGCGGAGGAGAGCCGTGAATTGTGTGGCAGAGGGACCCTGGAGACTGCGGACAATGAGAAGGGCCTCTGAGGCCGCCTGTGTGTTGGGGGGAGTGGAAGGTGATCAGGGAGGGCTCCCTGGAGGAGGTGATGTCCAAGCAGACAGCTAGAAGGAGTTGGTGAGAACAAGAAGGGCCAGAGGGCATACATGCCCAGCGTGTGCGCAGAGGTTCATCCAAGGAGGACACATCATGTGCATTAGAAGAGGACGAGGATAGGCTGAGTGCAGGGAAGCGGGCAGGGCTGTGGCAGAGCCTCCCAAGGACTGTTACCAATCCAGACTTGTGGGCCAGATGGAGCCAACTGAGGCCTGGCATGGTCCAATGAGCTTTGGGAAAATCAGCGGGTACGCTGAGAAGGGCTGGGCCTGGGGGAAGAGGGTAGTGATGGATGGCCTTGGGCAGAGCTAGTGTGTGGATCGGGGAAGGTCTGTGGCCTTATAGAATTATCAGGAATTGCTCACAATGGGATTTGGAAGGTGAGAAGGGAGTGTCCCCAGGAGGTCTGGGAGTTTGGTTTTGGCGGCTGAATGGATGGGGGACCACTCCATGGCATCAGGGCCCAGGAGAATGAGCAGGAGGACAGGGAAGAGGATGGGTCCAGCATGGGACATGGTCAGGGAAAGGGGCCCAGGGTCAGCCACTTGGGGGACAGGAGCATGTACAGAGTTCCTAAGAGGACTGAGCTGAAGGGAAGGGAGATCCTACTGCAGGCATCTCATCACCTGACCTGGAGGGAGAGGTGGAAGAAAGAAGGAGGCAGCCCCTCCCCACCCAAATGAGGAGACAGGACGCCTGGAGCTTGCAGTCAGCAATTAAGCTCTGAAATTTAATCCTGACAGTGATCCCAGGAGGTATTGTCAGTCACCTACTTCAGACAACCGCCAGAGAAACAGGGTTAGAGAGGGCAGGGACGACCCAGGTCACAGAGGTCCACAATGTGGCATGGACCAGATGCCAGGGCCCCTTCTACACCCTCTGCAGAAAGGGGGGTAGCTCAGTGGTGCTCACGTCTGCCCTCCTCTCCCAGGACACGGTGGCCAGTCGGGGAGCAGGGCGGGGGGCAGGTTATTGCTCTGTTTCCCACACTTCCACAACTCGGCCCATCCTATTGATCGGCAGCTGAGGGCCTGACAAGAGGAACCCCAGGAGGGAGGAGGGCAAGCACTGATCTAGGCTACAGCCCTGGCTGGTCTTTTCCTTCGGTGTCGTGGACCCCGGGCCAGGTCTCTACCAGGTGGCTGCGGCAGCAGAGAACGCATAGACGTGAGCTGGGAAGGACACTCAGTGCCCCAGCGCCCGAGGTGGGCTCAGAGCAGCGTGCAGCTGCAGCCGCGGGCCTCCATGGCCAGGAGCAGCAGCCTCAGGTTGCGTGGAGAGTGGGGTGGGTAGCGGATGGCGTAGATCTTCTCCAGCCCAGGGCGGCGCAGCAAGCAGGCACGGTGGTGGGAGAAGGTGTCGAAAGAGAACTTGCCATGGTAGCTACCCATCCCACTGGTGCCTGTACAGTGGCAGGGAACATGGCAGTCAGGTTCCTGGTGGCCAGCCGAGGGGCTGTCAGACAGACCTGAGCTCTGCCAGTCACACAGGATGGCCTGAGTGGGCTACTTTACCCACCAAACCTTGGTCTCCCCATCTGTCAAGTGGCCTAACCATGAGGTGCTGTGGGTAAAGGGCTTAGCTCCGAGTCTGGCACCGGCACCCACTCAAATAAATTTTGGGGATGCCAGGTGGTGGGCAAGATGGGTAGGCAGTGGTCAAGGGTGGATTCGGGGGTCGGGGAGGTTAGAGCTCAGTGGTGGAGTGTATGCTTAGCATGCACGAGCCCTGGGTTCAATACCCAGTACCTCCGTTTGAAAACAAAGAAAGTGGATTCCGGGGCGACTGCTCAGGGTTGAATCCTAGCTCTGAAGTAGCTGTGTCACCTTAGGCAAGTGACTTCATCTTGGTCTCCTCTACGACATGGAATGACAGTGGCACCCACCTCCTAGAGTTGTGGGGATTGGGCGAGTGTCCTGAGCCATGGATACAGTAAGTGCTGTGTTGTTAGGAGTATATAATGTCTCGGTGGGGAGGCCGTCAAGGACCAGGCAACTTCTGCACTGGGAATTCCAGGGGACCCAGCCTGGTGGAAGCAGGGGTAATCAGGGAGGGTTTCCTGGAGTGAGTGAGGCCTGAGGGATGTAGAGCTGACCAGATAAAGTGGATGTATGGGGAAAACTCAGAGAGCCTTGGAGGAGGGTGATCTGTGTGTCAGGACCACAGAAGGCAGGGCTCAGTGTGGCAGGGGCAGCAGACAGGAAAGTGGGAAAGGAGGCTGGGGCAGGACTCCTAGCAGGAAGGGCTGACCTCAGGAAACTGAGTCAGGGGCCTGGCAGCTATGGGAGATTTCTGTCAGGGGAGTAGCAGGATCAGATCTACCCCCAGATAGACCCCCACTACCCTGAGGAGGAGGGGCTGGGACTGGAGATGAGGCAACCAGATGGGCTGAGGAAGGGGGTTCCAGAACTGGGAACAGCAGCGATGCCCAGCCCTTGGGGCCTGCACTGCCCCGGCATTGATGTCAGCCTGCCATGCGCTCTTGTGGCCCTGGCTGCTTCCCAGAGGGCGTCCAGGCCCACCAGGGCAGCTTGCTGGGACCTGCTAGTCACTTACTTTGGTGCCAAGTTTGGCAGGTGGTAGGACATCCAGTCTCAGGCCCTCTCATCCCCTGAGGAGGAGGAGCTGGGCTCAGAGAGGGGAGGTGGCTGCCCACATCACACAGCCATCGGGCTTGCTGGGACCAGCCTCAGAGGCCAGGACTTCGCAGCAGTAATGGGGCTGCTGGGGCCTGGGGGAGGGGGCATCTCTTCTGCCCAGGCCTCCGTCAGCATCAGGGGAGCTGGCAGCAGCCCCCATCCCCATGGGGTGTGACATGCCAAGCATGGGACGGAGGGGACACAGGAGGGGTTAGAGGAGCAGCGTGTGGCTTCCTTGTGTAGGAAAGGGGACACGCAAGGCTGACAGGCCTGCTGTTGAGGAGAAAAGCCGTAGTGGCACAGTGGACAGTGATCACTTCACAGTGATGTTTTTAAAAACCTAAATTATGTATTGGTAGGTCCACCTACGTATGTAAACACAGAGACATGTACAGAAGGTCCACTTCAGACCTGCAGAGAGGAGCAGGGTAGAGGAGCTGGGGTGCTATTCAGTCAGGTCACAGTGAGAGGCGGCACCTACCTACTCCTCCGAAAGGCAGGCTGCTGAGGGTCATGTGCATGAAGCCATCGTTTCCACAGAAGCCCCCGCTGCTGGTCTGCGCCAGGACCCGCTTGACCACCTGGGGGAGAAGCAGCAATGAGGCTGGTGGTGGAGCAGCACGAAGCCCACCAGCTGCCGGGTCCCCAGGGCTCTGCCTGGTGTCCCCCTGGGACCCACTGCAGGGTCTGAGGCCACCCCACTGTGTGAGCTGAAGAGGGTGATGGGACAGGTTGGGGCATGGTTGTATCGCAGCCTGCCACACTCTCCCCACCCAAACATGTTTCTTGAGCATCTTGGGTGTGGCCCCGCACAGGGCTTCTGCGGACACAGACTCAGGCCTGAGGGAGAGGCGGGAAACCCAGCATCTTCCTGGGGACGTGGAGAGTGCTGGGTGAGGTGTGTGTAGTCAGGGAGGTGTCCCAGGGGAGGGAGGTGATGTGTCTGCGGAGTCTCAGGTGGGGGGGCAGGAGTTGTTCAGGCAGAGTGATGGGCAGGTGGGGAGGCCAAGGGACAGGGAGACAGCCGGGGGCCCATGTGGTGTGCAGCACAGGAGGATGTTAAGATTTTTATTTTAGAAACACGAACTTGGCCCTTGCTTGACTTAATGAAGGCTCTTCCTCTTCAGTCTATAGGTGTATTTGAAGAATGAGGGGGTAAAAAAATTAGTAGACACTAAAGAGTCGTCTCCAAAAAAAGAAGCACAAAACTTTGGCTGTAGTTAGTTACAAAGTGTGACCCTCAGGTTACAGCTCGGTCAGGGTTTGTCCACTAGTGGGTGGAGTGGACCCGCCACCAGCAGACTCAGAAATTCCTTTGAGACCAGCGGTAACAACAACAGAAGATGGAGTAGGAGGCGTCAGTGCTTTGTGAGGAGTCAGGGCAGGTCATGTGAGATGAGACGTGCGTCTCAAGTGTCACTCTGTGTCCTGGGAACAGTGCTGGGCAGTCAAAAAGCTTGAAAGCCACTCTGCTGATGACCCCCTCCCCTTCCAAAACACCTGTGTAGCATTTTCTAAAGTTAACGTTATCCGGATAAACCAGGGCTTCTTGGAGGAATGGCTGATTCTAGGGTGAGGTAGGGAAAATCCCACATGAGCCCCAAGTAGCTTCCAGAAAGGAAGGCAGTGGTCAGAAGACAAAAGGTAGGAGGGTGTAACTCAGTGGTAGAGGGTGTGATTAGCAAGCACGAGGTCCTGGGTTCAATCCCCAGTACCTCCATTAAATAGATAAACCTAATTACCCTCCTTCAAATAAGATAATAATAATAAAAAATAAGACAAAAGGATGGGCAGGTATTGGGGACATAGCAGCTCCCATGCCCGAAGCTGGGACAACTTGACAAGGAAACAAATAAGGCGGTACCGGCTTGTAACCTGGAGGATATAGCAGATAGAGTCCATGCTGATATAAAGTAAATCAAGAGCCCTCCAGATTCCAGGTGATACATGTACATAGTCCCCCTTCAGCAGGAAGAGCTTAAGTACACCCCCTCCCATGAAAGTGGGCTGGACTTAGTGACTTCCTCCCAAGGAACAGAATAAGGAAAGGGGGAAATCGTCACTCCTTGATGGAGATGCATGCAAGACATCACCTTGGCTAGTGACGAAGGTCAACTTCATCAGTGATCTTGGGATCTCATGGACCCCTGATGTGTGGGCAGAGACGGGCCCTCGGCCCTGTGCTATGAGAGGAACAGCAGACCACTGAGCCCGGGGACATTCTGCAGCAGAGCTGGCCAGCACAGCACTCCTCAAACTGAGAAATCACCAGAAGACCAGAGAAACCATGACAACTAACTGCTTCGTGGGACTCTGGCTTGGATCCAGTGGCGGAAAGAAAAGCTGGCGAAATCCAGATCAAGTCTGGAGTGTGGTTAATAGTAATGTACCAGTGTCAGTTTCCTAGTTTGACCAACATAAAGGCCCCTAACTGGGGGAAATGGGTATATGGGAACTCCCTGGACTATCTTTGCAACCTTTCTGTAAATCTAAAATTATTCAGAAGTAAAACGTTTATTTAAAAACAGCATTGTCCAGGCTCTGAGGGATCTCGAGTATGGGTGAGGGGGAGGTGTGTCCTGAGCTGGGATCGCCTGCCAGTGCGCCTGCCTGTGAGTCTCCCAGGCTGCCCCCAGGGGCTTGAGTAGGGCAGGGGCCCCCAGGGAGGGGTTGGGGACCAGGGCTCATTCTTGTGCCTGCATGTTCCGGTCATTCATTCTCCCCTAGTCATTGCGTCCCACCTGTGTGTGTGCCTTCCATGAGCCAGACACTGAAAGGGGACATTGCAGCCACTAGGCCGAGACGATGAGGAAGAATGGAGACAAGGGCTGACATATGGGGGACGCTGGACCCCAGAGAAGACCTGGGGAGCTGCCCACTAAAGGCCCAGGAGAATCTGACCTCAATTGGAGGGGAGGCCCTGCTGTTCCTAGGAGAAAGAAGAGGGACAGAGCCAGGAGTGCCACCTAGAACTCTGTGACTGCCCCCAAGGGACATGGACCCCCTATCCTCCTGCCAGGCCCTTTGGTCCACTCTGGCCCTGGAGGTCTTGAAGCCACCTTCCCCTCTGCTGACCTGACTCCACCATCCACTGCTGGCACCTGCCACCACCTCTGTCCAGCCCACCTGGTTGCTGTTGGAGAAGGCGTACAGGGCC